TTCCAGAAGCTCAGGCCACAGATCTTAGCCAAGACCGAACACTGGGACTTCTCAGCAGGGTAATTTAGATGAATTTATCAGCCCTGCTGTTCGGAGTCTGGTTGTGGATATTTACGCATTGCACGTTGCCATCAGCCGATGTTTCAAAGAGAAGAACAGCCTGTTAGAACAATGTCCTGTGTGCATCTGAATATATTCTTAGCATGTGGAGAAAAAAAAAAAAAGCTATTCAAAGCTATCACGTCTCAGGTCTTCTAGCATAGACATAAAATATCGCTAATACTGTGCATGGTTTAGTGCTCGGAAGCCTTATTAAGGAAATGCCTCCTGAAAGTATTTGCTTAACACCTAAGTTTTATTTATTTAAAATGTAGGGTTTCCCTGGCGATGGAGCTCCAGTTGGTTTTAAAATGAAAAATACAGTGAAAATACAAAAAAAAAAAATTGCCTAAAATACGACAGTGGCATTACAATGGATGCAGGAGGCTCTGTTGTTTATAAATATTTGGTGGCGCAGTGGTTGGAGTGCAGTACTGCAGGCTACTTCTGCTGACTGCCGGTTGACTGCAATTTGGCAGTTCGATTCTCACCAGGCTCCAGGTTGACTCAGCCTTCTGTCCTTCCGAGGTGGGTAAAATGAGGACCCAGATTGTTGGGGAGCAAGAGGCTGACTCTGTAAACTGCTTAGAGAGGGCTGTAAAAGCACTGTGAAGCGGTATATAAGTCTAAGTGCTCTTGCTGTTGCTGTATACATGTATACTCCATTTGTAACTCGAAGTTACAAAGGCATTGAAAATAGTGGCTTAGGACCGTCTTTCACACTTAACAACCATTGCAGCACCCCTGCCATCGTGTGATCAAAATTCAGTTCAGTTCAAACTTGAAGAAGCTTCTTGGATGAGAAGTGAAATGTCTTCAAGGGAGAAAAAAAAGTCCAGTCGCTTTTGAGACAATAGCAATAGCATTTAGACTTATACATCGCTTCACAGTGCTATAAAGCCCTCTCTAAGGAGGAGGAGGAGGAAGAGATCTGTGGGATGCCTGGTGCTCTCTGAGTTTGGTTATTTTCTTGCAGACATTTCATTACCCAACTAGATAACATCATCAGTGCTAGAAGGGCGTGAAGTTTGGGGAGGGAAGGAGCTTGGTTGTTGTTTTTTGCAGGTTATAACTTCCCAGCCTAGCCTGGAAAGGAGGTTCTGTAGTGGAGCCTGTCCAGGGTATTTGGGTGTTTAGAGAAGGCCTTAACGATGCTTCCTACCCCCTGTCATTATCGCTTATTTTAGGAAGAACCAGAGTCTTGTGAATGGAGGTCATCCTCCCCTGGCATCTCTT